AAAAGAAAAAAACAGCCTCGGATGAGACCCCCCTTTTTCTGATGACGACCACGGCAAACGTATAAAGGACTATGATTTAAGGGTATGCACCTGGAATATCCGGACCCTTAATGGGGAAGGTGCCTCTGCCCGGCTGGTTGATGTCCTCGGGAAGACAAAGGCTGACATCACCGCCATCCAAGAAATGCGATGGACGGGGCAAGGAAAAGTAAGCGTGAAGCCTTGCTTCGTCTACTACACTTGCCACGTAAAGGAGCGCAAATTCGGTGTTGGATTCGTGGTAGGAGAGAGACTCCGTCGCCCAGTACTGGCGTTCACCCCGGTGAACGAACGTCTAGCCACAATCCGCATCGAAGCTAGATTCTTCAACATCTCGCTCATCTGCGCCCAAGCCCCGACGGAAGAGAAGGATGAGGCGTCCAAGGATCTCTTTTATGAGCGCTTGGAACGTACATATCAGCGCGCCCCCGACACGATGTCAAAATCGTGCTTGGCGATTTTAATGCCAAGGTGGGCAAGAAAGGAATCTTTGGCACCACTGTTGGAAAATTCTGCCTCCACGACGAAACGTCCGATAACGGACTGAGGCTGATCGACTTCGCCGGGGCCCGAAATATGGTAATATGTAGTACTAGGTTCCAGCATAAGAACATCCACCAAGCTACATGGCTGTCTCCAGATCGAAAAACGAGAAACCAAATCGATCATGTTGTGATAGACGGAAGGCATGCTTCAAGCGTTTTGGACGTACGTACTCTCCGAGGGGCACACATCGACTCGGACCACTATCTTGTTGTAGCCAAGATACGCACCCGCCTCTGTGCAGCAAAAAATAAGCGCCCAACAATGCAAGGAAAGCTTAACGTCGAAAAGCTGCAATCACAACAGACGGCCAATTTATTCGCCACTCGACTCACACACCTGCTCTCTGAGAGCATCCTTCAACGATCCGACATACGCGAGCAGTGGAACCACATTTCCCGATCATTAAGTACCGCCGCCGAAGAAGTAGTTGGATTTCAGCGAGCCCGAAAGAACAACTGGTACGATGAGGAATTTCAAGAAGCCGCAGAGAAAAAAGATGCCGCCTACAGGGCCACGCTGCGATCGGGCGCAACGCGAGCCATGTGGGACCATTATAGGGAACTGAAGAAGGAAGCGAGACGTATTTGCCCCAATAAGAAGAGAGAGGCCGAAATACGTGAGTGCGAAGACCTTGAGATGCCGGCCGACAGGAAGAACGCCCGAAAATTCTACCAGACGGTTAGGCGACTTACGGAAGGTTTCAAGACCGGGGCGAACTCCTGTAAAAACAACAATGGCGACCTAATGACCGATGTCCAGAATATACTTAAATTGTGGAGGGAACACTTTTATAACCTACTGAATGGTAGCAGCGCTGAAAGTAGTGAAGAAGACGAACCCGAGTCCCCAGTCGATGATGATAGAGTAGCTGCCCCACCGCCTGACTATGACGAGGTACGTATAGCGATTACGCGGCTGAAAAAACAACAAAGCTGCTGGAGCTGACGGCCTGCCAGCCGAGCTATTCAAGTACGGCGGCGAGGAGCTGATTAGGTGCATGCATCAGCTCGTATGCAGAATATGGTCAGATGAACGCATGCCCGACGACTGGAATTTAAGTGTGCTCTGCCCAATCCACAAGAAAGGCGACCCCGCCATGTGCACCAACTACCGCGGAATCAGCCTTCTAAGCATAGGTTACAAGGTCTTATCGATCGTATTGTGCGAAAGACTGAAGCCCACCGTCAACGAGCTGATTGGTCCTTATCAGTGTGGCTTTAGGGCTGGAAAATCCACCATAGATCATAGACCGCGAGAATAGGATCGACACACACCATCTATTTGTCGATTTCAAAGCCGCTTTCGACAGCACGAAGAAAAGTTGCCTTTATGCCGCGATGTCTGAATTTGGTATCCCCGCGAAACTAATACGGCTGTGTAAAATGACGATGAGCAATACCACCAGCTCCGTCAGAATAGGGAAGAACCTCTCCGAGCCGTT